AACCTTGTTCCCTCCCTTGTTGACAGTGACCTAACTTGCCTCATCAAAAGTTCTATTTAGTAAAGTTTCTCCTCATTTTTACACACAAGAGAAAGAAAAAAAAGTTTGAGGAACTATAAAATATTCCGAGAGAAAATGAGATTCTTAAACGGGGATGAGAGGAAAGATGTGAGGTTTAGTTTGGTTTAGTTTGGAAATTTAATACATACAGGTGTTAGGTTAGGTTAGGTTTATAAATACAAGTACAGGTTCAGACGCAAGCCAGATACAGATACAGGTTCAAGTACAGATACAAATACAGTTGCTTATACATACAAAGGTGTGGATAGAATTACAGGTGTGGGATACAGGTACAACAATATATACCTGGCAAAAACATCATTAATAATACAGACCATTAACCCAGATACAGCAATACAGGTATAGTACAGGCACAGCAAGTTGTCACAGACCCTCCTACTCTGCCAATTACCTAATGTCAGCAGTCACTTAACGATGTAGAGTTAACAAAAAGGTTTTACAATCCCGAGGACTCTATTGATACGAGTTAGCAGTTTAGTTAAGGCCGCATTGAACGGATGGGGAAGTGTATAGTGGTAGTCTGGTGGGGGAGGGGAAGAGGGGGGATGGGAGGGGGTGGGGGAGGGAGGGGTGGGAGGGGGTGGGAAGGGGGAAGAGGGGGTCTGGGAGGAGGGAGGGGGTGGGAGAGGAGGGAAGAGGGGTGGGAGGGAGGAGGATGAAAGGGGTAGAAAGAGGAGGTAGTGAGGGAAGAAAGTCAGCAAGATAGGGAGGTGGGAGGGGGAGAGGAAATAAAGGGAGGAGGAGACGGGGGACAGAATAGGGGTAAAAGGAAAGGGGGGGGAAGGCAAGAGGAATAGCAGAAGGAGGAAGAGGAAGAATAGCAGAAGAAGGAGGAAGAGGAGGAGGAGAAAGAGGAGGACGGTAATGAAGTTAACTTGGAAGATCTTAATCGATTCTCAATATCTTTATTTTTTTTCGACTTGAACTCCGCAAGTTTCTACAAAACCGTAATTATTCCACCACTTGGTAATCATACTATAAACAAGGTATCATAACACTATCACGACACTATTACCCACCCACACCCACCCACCAACCCACCAAGCCCACCCACACCCACCCACCTCACCCACTGTCCCACTACAAGCCCACCCACACCCACCACTGTCCCACCACCACACCCACACCCACCAGCCCACCCACCCACCCTGTCCCACCACTAAGCCCACCCACTATCCCACCCACCAAGCCCACCCACACCCTCCCACCTCGCTTCCCATCCCTCACATGACCTGCTTTCAGAATACCACGGCACACCGTCCCTTTGATAAACACAGTATCAAGGCCTTATGAGTGTGAAGCAGGTTAGCGATAAGAGGAGGAGAGTGGGAAATGAAAGGGAAATGCGGGGATAAGTAATGTGAGGAAGGAAATGTGTGAGTAATAGAGAGAGAGAGAGAGAGAGAGAGAGAGAGAGAGAGAGAGAGAGAGAGAGAGTCGTATTTCTATATTTATCTTATCTGTCACTATTGTGGAGGAGACATACATACATACATACATACATACATACTGTGCATCCACTAAACCCTAAACCAAATCATTAACATAAACTTTCATTATATGACTTTAAAAAGTTAATCCTGCCAGAGTTAAATCAGTTTAACTAACTTGGAGGAAATTTTAAAGTTATGGTCCTATGAAGTAAATATTTTCCACCGAATTAAAAAAAAAAGGTTTATATATCGACTTATAATATTATCTGTGCGTCCATCAGTCTGTCTGTCTGTCTGTCTGTCTGTGTGTCTGTGTGTCTGTCTGTCTGTGTGTCTGTCTGTCTGTCTGTCTGTCTGTATGTCTGTGTGTCTGTCTGTCTGTCTGTCTGTCTGTGTGTCTGTCTGTCTGTGTGTCTGTCTGTCTGTGTGTCTGTCTGTCTGTCTGTCTGTCTGTCTGTCTGTCTGTCTATTGTATTTATGTACTTTTGTGTTTTATGTAGTTTAGTTATTTTTCTGTTTACGGTACAAAAAATGATGTTAGTATCAGCTATTTGCGACGGGATTATTTCAGCTACCACTGTTCTAAATCGTCTCCCTTCGACCTTTGTGGAGAGAGAAACCATGAAACAAATTATTACATATCAGTGAGACGGACTCATTAACTAGGGAAGACACTTACACCATAAACAAATATCTATCTTGTCACTTAAGTGTATCTCAAATTATCGTGTGAGTGGTTTATAACGAGTCAATATTTACATAAGAGTTGAGAGACGTTATACCAGTGGAGTTACTATATAATCTATCTTCATCAGCGCAAGTACAATTATTTTATGCACAGGTATTCCTCTTTTCTATTCCGTTCTAAACTTCGGATAATCTAAATTTTGCTATGTATAAACACTCGCGGGACGGAGGACGCTACAAAAGGTGTCCAACAAAGAAAAATTACGTTAAAAATTAGATTTGATTAATATCTGGACGCAACAACTGGTCGACGTTTTCTATGAGTGAGAATACGTCATAGTTGGCGCATGCTCTGTAAACACACCCGGCCTCCTGTCTCGTCAAGGCTCGTTCCCGTCGGACCCGTCTTACGCCTCACCGTCTGGCTGACATGGATGTGATTGTTGTTGAGCTGTTCTACTCATTATGGACATTTAAACCGCCCACTATAACTCTTATTGACCCTTATGTGTGAATAATGGCGCATTCACGCAATATAATACATGAGGTGAAGTGGTTGACGGGTGTGAGGGTCGTCTTAGTGTGTAATAAAGGAGATATTGGTGGAACTCGACTGTTTCTGAAAGTGTCGGATGGAAAGATTAGAACCTGCGACTTAGATTGGTGAGTACAGTCATATTTTATTCGTATTATCGATATTATTTCATGCATTATACATGGTGGACCTTGGTGTCAATTATTATATTTTTTTTTTTCATCTTACGGCTACAATTTTTCATACATTGACCACAAAATAAGCTTCATTCTCTTCGTAATAACATCTAGCACAATAGTCTGGAATAAAATCATGCGATATAATACGTTTTCTACAAAATATTACGTTCTGGGGAAAATGTGTGAGCATTTATATTTTCCGCACGTAACTTGGCAAATAATAATTTTTAGCGTCTTATTTCTGGTACACAGCTGTATCTCTGAACCTGTCCTTGTTGTTGTCAAGTTTATTACATTATATAACACGTTTATATATCTCCATACAGGGAAGGGAAACAAAAACAAACAAAATTTCAAATTATACTTGTCAAAAATATTTTTATTTATTTATTTATTTTTATATTATGGTTCCATGTAATTCCTTGCACCTTTAACGCTCAAGTCATTTTTCTTACGTGTGAATTTCTTTAGCCCTGACCTACTGCACCTTGATCATGAGCGTCAGGTACCGCTAATTACAGGTGGGGCTGTTCTCGAGGGTGTTAAATGTAGGCAATTTTAAGCATTAATAATTCAATGTTTTGTTTTGTTTTTCCGTAAGGCAGTTAATGTACTCGATATTGTAGTTAATTTTATTTGCCATAGTTTTATGTTATTGTTAGTTCATGTCTGGTGATAAGAGATACTGTCAAAACGTTACCAAATGGATATGTTATTGTTTTGCCTCTAATTCGATACATTAGAGCTGTTATTCATCCTACGAATAAGTAACGTTATGTATATCGGTATATCGGCCAAAAGGAATATTGCCTCGTCGGCTTAATTCGTATCTTTTTTTATTAATGAATTAGACGTTTTGAATTCGGAGTGAACACGAAATAACCGAGTGGTTCCGAAAAGTTGTGTCGTCAAGCATGAAATTTTAGTCTCGTCTATTCAACTGTTCACTCGCGGCTCCCTCAACAGGCTTGGGTCTGGTGTCATCCCACTTGCACGATCGTCTTTTCTGTGCCTTTTTTGCCATCCCACTAAGACGATTATTATAGGAATATATTATGAAATAGATTATGATGAATGCATTATAGGAATTAAATATGATAGGTTCATTTGGTTAATAAATAATACTGAAAAATAATTAATTCCGTCTGTATGTTCCCAACCTCTTGTTTACACAGTGGTAACAGCTGATCGTTCCTGCTCTCCCTAACAAGGTAGCCAGCACTCACTACCTCTCAAGCACCATTATCGTCAATGCTTAAGAGGGTTGGTGCTTACCGCAGTCTTGAGCACTTAGTAAATAACATTGTAGCTTATTTATCAGAACTTAATAAATGCTTTGCGTCCTCCATTTGCCTTGGCTTATTCACTCATTAGTTGTCGCAGTGTAAAAGTATCCGAGTCGACCTACCGCGGTAAGTTGAGTAGTGATGTTAATATGTATGGTGTAAGTGTCTCGTCACCTCACCTCCTGCCTCGTCACCTCACCACCTTCCTGCCTCGTCACCTCACCACCTGCCTCGTCACCTCACCACCTGCCTCGTCACCTCACCACCTGCCTCGTCACCTCACCTCCTGCCTCGTCACCTCAGCCCGTCTCGTCACCCACCCCGCACCACCACCCACCATAGGCAACTCTTCTATATAACAACTGACTGTTTTGTTCACAACTTTTATTATTTATGATTGTCCAGTGTTGTGATCTTGTTATACTGTTGTTCTAGAGTGTTCTTCTGTTCATATGTTCAGTATAATTACCTGTATGACGTAGGTGTTTTATCTGAACAGGTAATATTTTCTTAGGTTTATTTATATAATGTCTGTGTTTATTATCCTTGTATGTTATTGTTATTGTTTGCCAGGTATAAAGACACACACACACACACACACACACACACACACACACACACACACACACCAGGGTTAAAAAATGAAATAGAATGATAGACAAGGGAAAACATTAAGACCGACAGACAAACAGACACAGACAGACAGACGGACAGAAACAATAATTAGAATGTCAGTTTCAAATACTCATGTTCACTGTTGGTTCAAAACTCACCAACACTGTATCTCTCTCTATTTCAGACAACGCTACCAACGTCATGTGTGAGCTGTATATTCGAAGCTTCGGATCAATCGACCCCAACTCTATGGTGAGTCACATACTGCTTCATATGGGGGTGGGTCGTGTTGTCCCTGTTACTAGTTCATGGAAGAGGACTGGTATAATATGTTTTAGTTACTGGTTTATGGTAAGGGGGGTAATTAGCTACCAGTGTATCCCAATTGATGGTACATGATATGGGGGACTAATTAGCTCTATTGGCTCATATAGGGGGACTAATTAACTCCAGTGGCTCGTGTAGGGGGACTAATTAACTCCAGTGGCTCGTGTAGGGGGATTAATGTATCACTGTACAGATCTCTCATCGTCGTGGAGGTCATATGTATTTGGCCTTAATCCCAAGGTCCTGTTATCTGTTGCTCTAAGATTGATGACGTCTCGAGATGGGCCAATACTGTGTGCCATCCCGACATTGCACCTTGATTAATGGTCGTAACTTAGGTACGAGGTGTAATATTTTATTGTACGTGAGTTTAATTAGTTTAAAGGGTTATATAAAGGGGGGTTCGTTCTGTTGATCTTTGTGTACGTGTGTGTTGAATAGAATTTTGAATTTTGCCACGGACATCTTCTAGTTTATTGTGCACTGTATGATACTGTTTTTTTCCCCCATGTTGTTTGTCCTTTTTGCAGGCAGGCGGCTGTTTAGTCTTTTGGAAACATTTCTGGAGCATGCATTGAGCAGCAGTTGTATTTCAGTGGCAGACAACAACACACTTTGGTTACACTCGACATCACCACCATTTTCTGTTTGTGTTTGTTCATCTTCACTGACCATGTCCACAGAGGCATCAGTAGAACTGTTACCAGTATCACTATTTTCCTCTTATTGGACACTATTTCCTGGTGGGTCTTGAGTTTCCACATCTGGCACTGTCATTTCTGGATAATCCTTTCTATTATAATTATTGTATTGCTGGAAAATCACGGTGCTCAGTCCCTTTATTGTGTTGCAAAGGTCTGTGATCACTTCATTATGTTTGGCCAGTTCTTTAAGCTGATGTACATCATTTTCCATGTCAGTGTTCACTACGTTGCTTGTGTCTTCAGTGGGAGCGTTGGTAACTTCCTGATGCGGCTCTACATCTATGTCACTCCATACGGATCTGCTTAGGTGGTACCGGTCGGTTAGGTGCTGTAGTGCCCGGTAAACCAGCGGCTGTTCCTGGGTGGCTCCCCTATAGCAGTAGAGCCGCATGACACACACACACACACAACGAAGAGGACTCAAAATAATTCTCCCTTGAAAAAATCTCTGTCAGCCTCGTAACCTTAAGTGTTAACTCTGTCGAGGGAAATAGATTTTTTTTTAAAAGTTCAAGAGCCTCGAGAGTGACCTGTAAAAATGGGGAGTGTCATTCTGTCTGTCGGAGAGATTCTCTTGAAAAGTCTCACACTATCTCGTTCAGGATAGAAATGAAAAGCCTCTGAGTCTCCAAAGATTATTTTTATGGACGAAGTTAAAGCGATGATGTAATCCCCAGAGATAAAATCTTGATTTTTTTTAAAGACTGTGATTATGTTTAGCTACACTTGGAGGAAAAAAAACAATCAAACAGGAAAAAAAAAACATACATCAGTCAAGTCAAGAGCACGGAGCATAGGAATTTGTAAATGTAAACAAAGATAAATATTCTTAAAGGTCTAACAAAATGAAGACCAGAGGGATTTTTTTAAAGAAACGTAAACAAAGCAAAACAAACCTTTTTTCTTTCTTGGTTCACTTGATGTTACGTCGACCAGCTGAGGAGACCCGAGCAGGAACATAACACCAGAATTCTTAAACCATCTCTCAACATATTCGTTCTATTTCCCTTAAGAGTATAAAGCTCTATGACACACCTCCTCTCCTCTCAAAAAATAAAACCCGTGGGAGCCTTTCAGTTTAAGTCATCAGAGTGGTATAATTATTGCTTGGCGTTCTCCTGGGTGTTGCCTTCGTCCCATTGTGTTTTGTGTCTGTCTGTCTGTCTGTCTGTCTGTCTCAGTTCCTTGTATTGAGATCTATCTGTCTTCTTATGTTTTCTCTCTCCGTCTTTCTCTTTCTCTCTCTCTTTCACTCATTTTCACCCATCCCCCCTCCCTCCCTCCCTCACCCTATCTACCCTCCCTCCCTCCCTCACTGACAGCAACCTGGAGGGATGGGGGAGAGGATGAAGTTGATGGTGTAAATAGACCCATTCTTACTGTTTGTCCGTATCTCTGTCCAACTCCTTCCGTCTTCTCCTCCTCTCCCCTCCTTATCAACCCTTTCATCCTCCTCCTACTCCTCCTTCCCTCTCCCTTATGTCCTGCTCTCACCCTTTTCATCTCCCCTTCATCATATTCTCTCCCTCTCCTCCTTCCCTCCCTCCCTCTCCCCTCACCTCTCCCCTCCCCTCTCCCTCCCTCTCCCTCCTCTTCACCCCTCCCTCCCCCCCTCCCCTCCCTCCTCTTCCCCCTCCCTCCCTCCTCTTCCCTCCCTCCTCCTCTTCCCTCCCCTCCCTCCTCTTCCCTCCCTCCCTCCTCTTCCCTCCCTCCCCTCCCTTCCCCTCCCCTCCCTCCTCCCTCCCTCCTCTCCTCCTCTCCCTCCTCCCCTCCTCTTCCCCTCCTCCTCCTCTTCCCCTCCCTCCCTCCTCTTCCCCTCCCCTCCTCTCTTCCCTCCCCTCCCTCCTCTTCCCCTCCCTCCTCCCTCCTCCCCTCCCTCCCTCCCTCCTCTCCCTCCCTTCCCCTCCCTCCCTCCCTCTCCCTCTCCTCCTCCCCCTCCCTCCCTCCCTCTTCCCTCTCCTCCCTCCTCTTCCCCTCCCTCCCCTCCCTCCTCTCCCCTCCCTCCTCCCCTCCCTCCCCTCCCTCCCCTCCCCTCCTCCCTCCCTCCTCCCCTCCTCCCTCCTCTCCCCTCCCTCCCTCCCCCTCCCTCCCTCCCTCTCCCCCTCCCTCCCTCCTCTCCCCCTCCCTCCCCTCCCTCCCCTCCCTCCTCCCTCCCCTCCCTCCTCCTCCCTCCCTCCCTCCCTCCCTCCTCCCTCCCCTCCTCCTTCCCTCCCTCCCTCCCTCCCTCTTCCCCTCCCCTCCCTCCCCTCCCTCCCCTCCCCTCCTCCCCTCCTCCCTCCTCCTCTTCCCCTCCCTCCTCCCTCCTCCCCCTCCCTCCCTCCCTCCCCCTCCCCTCCCCTCCCCTCCCCCTCCCTCCCCTCCCCTCCTCCCTCCCTCCCCCTCCTCCCTCTCCTCCCTCCCCTCCCTCCCCTCCTCTCTTCCCCTCCCTCCCTCCCTCCCCTCCCTCCTCCCCCTCCTCTCCCCTCCCTCCCCTCCCTCCCTCTCCCCTCCCCTCCCCTCCCCTCCCTCCTCCCTCCCCTCCCTCCCCCTCCTCTCCCTCCCCTCCCTCCTCCTCCCCTCCCTCCCTCTCTCCCCTCCCCTCCCCTCCCTCCTCCTCCCCCCTCCCTCCCCTCCTCTTCCCTCCCTCCTCTCCCTCCCCTCCCCTCCCCCCTCCCTCCCTCCCCTCCCCTCCCTCCCCTCCTCCCCTCCCCTCCCTCCCTCCTCTCCCTCCTCCCTCCCTCCCTCCCTCTCCTCCCTCCCTCCCCTCCCCCCCCTCCTCCCTCCCTCCCTCCCTCCCCTCCCCCCTCCCTCTCCTCCCCCTCCCCCTCCTCTTCCCCTCCCTCCCTCCTCTTCCCCTCCCACCCTCCTCTTCACATATTTTTTTATTTGTATCAGCGAATATTTTTTTCCTGATATTATTCTGCCAATATAACCTGCTCAGAGCGCCACATGACGACTTGCAATATTGCAGTATTATGATATTGCATGGAGGTAGTTCGGCACGTTGCATTGGTGGGGAAAAAAAGTCTTTTTAATTTCAACAATGAGAAAAATGTGTTTACCTTTGACAGGAAATGGAAAGTGAATTAAGAGTTTATTGAATTATACTTGATAAGTTCAGGTACAGGTGTTATTATGGGTACAGTTACAGGTACAGCTACAAATACAGGTACAGGAAAAGGTACAAACACAGCAATATATTTAGAGAGAGAGAGAGAGAGAGAGGTATCACCAAGCTCAATAACCTTAACTATTAACACCTGTCTCATTATACACCTGAGCGAAGGTGTTCCACAGTTATGATTACTAATATAACAATCACAAACCTGTATAATTGTCCGTGTCTATCGCCCCACTGTAATATTGTTGTTGGTAAGAGAGAGTTAACACACACACACACACACACACACACACACCTCATTGTTATCAGTGTTATCAGTATTTACGCCTCGATAAAGGGGTCATTTACCTGTTTTAGCAGCCCTTATTATCACCATGAGAGAGAGAGAGAGAGAGAGAGAGAGAGAGAGAGAGAGAGATTCACCTCACGAAAAAAACATTGAAAAAAAAATTAATTTGTTAGGTAATTACAGGTGTTATTGTGGCGCGTCATTGATAGTGTAGAGGCCATACCACCGCCTATTTTGACCTGACCTGACCTGACCTAATACTAACAATAACAGCAAAACGTAGGATACTTTCATAATTGCAAATGGGTATAATTATTCGTAAAAAATATATATATATGCATTATAGTATTAGAGGTCGTGCCCACACCAGCTCTATAATTTGATATATCTATAATAAGAAGGATTATACCTGAGCGCACATGTAGAAGAACAATATTCATTTACATAAACATGAAAGGTACATCTGGCCGCTGTGGTATAATTGCTAAATTTATTCACAGCGGCCAAATTTGGAAGTGGTGTTTCAAGTGTGTGTGCTCTCTCTCTCTCTCTCTCTCTCTCTCTCTCTCTCTCTCTCTCTCTCTCTCTCATCACTTCCACATAACCTTTCGTTGTTGCCATCAGGATATTTATCAGACTTATGGTATGTTCCCTTCCTCTGATTCATGTTGGTTGATCTGATTAACCCGTTTAATTGGCCGTCTGATTGCAGTTACATATATATCTAGTATTCTCATTGGTCGTCTTGTTACATGCGTCCTATAACTTGATTGGACGTCTTACAACATTCATTAATAATAATGTGATTGGTCTTTTTAATAGGGAAATCTGA